TTTTTATTAGTTTTTAAAGTCTTTTTTAAAGCTTTTTTATAGTTTTTGACTTTAACTCAAGTTTGGTTAGGAATTCTGACATGACTCTGAGGCAAAAGTGGTTTGCATTGTTATTCTGCAGAACATACTTTTTTTTTCAGATTTTTTTATTTTTATTTTTTTTTAATGGTCCGGACATTTCCGGACCTGTCCAGACTTCCGGACCGTCTGGATCCCCCCATGTCCGGAGGTCCGGAAATGTCCGGAATTCCGGACGTCCGGAAACTACCGGACACAGGTCCGGTTCCATGTCCGGAAATGCGGAAATGTCCGGAATTCCAGACGTCCGGAAACTACCGGACACAGGTCCGGTTCCATGTCCGGAAATGTCCGGGTCCGTGTCTGGCGTAGCCATGTGAATTAGTCATTATTGAAAAATTGGGGGTGTCTAATAAATTATTATAGAGAGAGAGCATGTCCGGACCCCCGAAAAAAGGATAAACGGGCCTGAAAAAACCCCAAAACAATTTTGGGGGCTTGGCTCCTTAGTGGGGAAGGGTGCTGGACCGTTTTTTTTGTTTTTTTTTTCCCTCAAAATTTGGCAGATCCAGACCTTCCAGATCGGACTGAATCCAGACTGTCTGGACGACGGTTTGGACTTCCAGATCGTAGCCATGGAAAAATTCGAAAATGGGAATAAAAAGATAGTTTTAATTTTTAAACATCAGAAAAAGACAGAAAAGAAAACGATAGGCCACGAAAAAAAAAAAAAAAAAAAAGGCCACGAAACGGGGGAATCCCTCTGAAAAACAGGGGAACACTTTCAGATCCTGTCTCCATCGGCAGCTACCGTGAGCTCCCCCCCGCCTCTTTTTTTTTTTTCAAAAAACAGTCCCCCCGCTAGAGGAAGTGATAAGAGCATCCCCCTCTAGCGAGCTTCCTGGTTGCTCCGATCTATTCATCGGGAGCAGCACCCCCTGGAAAATGGGTCCAGCGTCCCATCATACCCCTGTGTCACGTCTCTTATCCCTTGGGTAGTGGGACTTGGCTACTGCCTAGTGGGACCGTGCCCCTGGCCTCGTTTTGCCGAGCTTCCTGGAAAACGCGTTATAATTGCACTATGGGCCAAGATACAGTTTCCAATTGCAGTTCTGATTCTGGCAATGTATACAACGCAGTTTTCTGGCCAGGTGTAGGGTGCCTGAAGTGCAATGGCAAACTGTATCTTGCCCCATAGTGCAATTATAACTCGTGTTTGCGACTCTACTGAAAAGAACAGCTCTGGCGGCGTTTTTCTTTTAAATTTCTTTTGGCAGGTGCCTCAAGCCATTTTGGTCCCGCAGCACTGTTCATCGCAAATCATCCGACGAACTTGGAACTTGAACCTCAGCATTTTCGATTCTCAAGTTTTCATAACAACAAAAAAAAAAAAAAAAAAAAAAAAAAATTCAACTTTTCCTGGTCGAGGTACTCGTGGTCTAAACCACCAGTACTTGGCCCATACATCGGCCGTGGCGAAAAATAGAGCCACAGTGTTTCCACTTGAATGGATTTGGACCGGAAATAGAGCCACGATGTTTCCACTTGAATGAATTTGGACCGGAACCGCCAGGCCCGTTCAGCCCAGCACATCGTGCCTCGTATGCAGCCGCGACTTTCGGATGTACTGGTGGTTCTTAAAGTGTCGGCATCAATCTATCCATAACCCAGCACAGCTCTCTTTTTAAAGGTCTGTTGACAAACAGGCGTCCATGACGCATGGAATCCGGACAAAGTCCCGGGGCCAGGTCCCACTAGCAGCGTGGAGTTTCCTCAACGCCTGAATCTGGACGTGTCTGTGGATATGTGCACAAACCGCGTTGAGTTTTCTCAACCGCACATCTCCACGAACGCGTCCAGATTCAGGCATTGAGGAAACTCAACGCTGCTAGTGGGACCTGGCCGCCTGCCCTGTAGACCCTTCATTAGGAAAGAAGTAGCAAGATACCTATCTCGCTCCTCGACCATCAGGCCGCCAATAAGACACTAACCCCACCCCGGCATCCCGGGGGTCGCGTGGATAAGCGCATACATAAATAAAATAAGGTGCTTGAACCGTGCTTCATGATTGGAAAGCCCACATACCGGGGTGATAAGAGCATCCCCGATATGTGGGTTCATATGTTGAAGGCTCCATCTATTGGTGGGGAGCTGCACCTGGTCTGGAAACGGGGTCTAGCGTCCCTGTACAATGTACAATGTTGTGGGTGGTAGCATGTTCATATACATGGACTGCCTGTTCTGTGCCTACTCTGTGAGCCCTATGCTGTGTGACTACGTTTGTGAGTATGTTTGATTGTTGTATGTATGTTGAAGATCAAAATAAAATTAAATTAAATTAAAAAAAAAAATAAAGCTGCTTGTGGATGCATCGACTCTTTTGGGTGAGCAAGAGGGCCGAACCAGCTGTGTGTCTACCCAACCCACACCTTTCTCTTTTTCAATCCTCCTGTCTTCAACCGAATAGAACGCTTGGGCATTATAGCTGTATTAGGTGCAATTTTCAGTCTAGATGCAGCGATAATTGCTGGATATTCCATTCCGGTGAAGGAGGTAGGTGGGGCAAAAGCAAGAGGACAAGAACTTGCTGTCAGTGAGCTGCAGAACCTAGTACAGGTATTAGCCCTCGACCAATAGCATCTCCTCCCTTTCAAAACCAACAATAGAGAGGATAAGCACTTAAACCACCAGTACCTGGCCCAGCTATCGGACGCGGCGCTTCCCGTATACGCGCCGCGTCGGGAGGGGCACCCACCTTGCAACGACCAGTACCGCCCAAAAGTCGGAATCAAAAACGGAAAAAAAAAAACCAACCGAAACGAGAACAAACAAAGAAATAAAAAAGTTGGGCGAGGCGGGGGGAA